CTGAACCGAGAACCGTTTCTTTCGGACACGTCCGGTTTGAGAACCGATGAGCTGATGATACTGCACATGCGTGTCATTTTTCAAGAGCGCGAAAAGCATGTTATCCAAGTATTTTCTTAAACATCAGAAAGTGTGATAATATAAATATATTTTATTTTACTTTTTAAAAAAAGATGAATGTATCTAATCTGTGTACTTTGTTCAGTTGAAGATTCTGTTAGGTTATAGGCCAAAGGGGTTTGTCAGGGAACTTGGACCATAATTAAGACTCTATGTTTAATAGGAATTAGGGATGATTTATGAAATACCTGGACTTTAATTATAGTTAACGATGACACATTCACAAATTGAGTTTGTAGTCAAGAGTCAAGAACCGGTTGCATCGGTTTTCGGATCACCGGTACACTAAACCGAGAACCGTTTCTTTCGGACATGTCCGGTTTGAGAACCGATGAGCTGATGATACTGCGCATGCGTGATTCAACGTGAAGCTACTGAACAGATTGCCTACTATGATTGACAGCACGTCTGAACCGAACTGGTTCTTTTGGACAACTGATTCTGTGCTAATGTTATGAGAGCCTTGAATTGAACGAAGGGCAATCTGGCGAAACGTAAGTTTATTTAATAACAAATAAATCGCAATGGATTATGTATAGTAAGTGGATTAAGTTTTTTACGCTGATGACAACTCATTTATTTACTTTATATCTTCAAGACTTAAATCCTTGTATGCACATCAATGCCTGTTACTGTATTTGGGTACTTAGTTGCAAAACTTTATTGTAAACTTTTCAAATCATGATTATGATGTTTTAACTGACTGAAGTTATGATTACTGACTTTATATATTTGAATGTGTATTTTCATCCCTACCCGGACGATAGACTTGATATCATTACATCATCACGTTAGGGCGTAAAAGAACTGAAACATCGAACATTGAAACGAACTGTCCAAAAGAACCGGTTCGAGGAAAAGAACCGGACTTCCCATCACTAGTTGCAGTACATTCGTAAGTGCCATTATGTACCGAAGCTTTGTAAACAAAAAGGAACGGTTCAAAAACATAAATATATAAAAGTGCAGAGAGCAATGTTAATTATGCATTTGCCGCCTTCTCCTGCGCCGTCGTTACTAAGCAACGGGGTAAACAGCTGCTGGCTTGATGACGCAAATGAACCACGGTTTGGACCCAAATAAAATAATATGAATGCAGTCCAGCAGGGGCAGGGAGAGGGGGGAGCAATCAAACTCGGATTCGGACCAGGCAAGCGAACCTAGTGTGAAAGCACCCTTACTCTCCCTCAGGCTGCTCCAAAACTGTAGAACTTTTGTTTATCTTCAACACAAATTATGATATTTTAAATGAAACCTGAGAGATTGTCTAAAGTGCTGTTTTGTTTGTCTTTTGTCAGTATCAGCAAGAGGAAGACACCAAGATCAGAGTCTCCAGAACCCAGCGGTGTGTCTGTGAAGAGTAGCAGATCCATGCTAGCACCTGTTGTATTCAGCGATGGAAAAGCGATCTCTGATCCTCTGTTAGTATAAATATGTACTTGCTGATTTACTGTAGTGCATCTCAGAAGAACAGCGATTTAGTAATCTAAATGATTATTGTTAAATGTATTCAAAATATGCAACATATTCATCATTTGAAGAGGGGTGCCAAATTATTTCTAATAGCCAATATATTTCTGATGTTAATCAGCTGTCTTTGTGATCACTATCATTGTCCTTTTTGCTGCTCTGTTCTTTTCAGTTTCAGCATGGGGGAGACACATGAGCTGACAAGACCTGTACTTTTTTCTGCATCTCACCACAGGCAGGACATAACTGAAACAGCCCTACAGACACACACACTGGAGACTGGGGACCTGCAGAGAGTCAAAGACCAGCACAAAACCAGCATGAAGAACAAGTATGAGAGATTATTTGAGGGAAACAAACTCCAAAATAATGAAACCCTCCTGAACAGGATCTACACACAGCTCTACATCATAGAGGGAGAGAGAGAAGGAGTGAATGAAGAACATGAGGTTTTACAGATGGACAAAACATCCAGAACACAACACTCACAAGACACTCCAATCAACTGCAATGACATCTTTAAAGCCTCAGCTGAAGCAGGATCTGAGGAGAAAGACCAGATCAAGACTGTTCTTACTAAAGGCATCGCTGGAATCGGAAAAAGAGTCTCTGTGCAGAAGTTCATTCTGGACTGGGCCGAGGGAAAAGCCAATCAGGATGTAGATTTCATGTTTGTGCTTTCATTTCGAGAGTTGAACTTGATCCAAGATCATCAGTACAGTCTTCACAGACTCCTGCTGGACTTTCATCCCGAACTTCAAGATCTGGACTCACAGATTTATGAGGAATGTAAAGTTGTGTTCATCTTTGATGGTCTGGAAAGCAGAATAACACTGATGTTTTCAGACACTCAGAAAGTTTGTGATGTAACTGAGACTACTTCAGTGGCTGTGTTGATGTCAAACCTCATGAAAGGAGAGTTGCTTCCCTCTGCTCTCATCTGGATCACCTCCAGACCAGCAGCAGCCAATCAGATCCCCTCCAAATACATCAACCGTCTGACAGAAATTCAGGGATTCAATGAGCCTCAGAAGGAGGAATATTTCAGGAAGAGAATCAGTGAGCAGCATCAAGCCAGCAGAATCATCTCACACATCAGAAGAGCAAGAAGCCTCCACATCATGTGCCACATCCCCGTCTTCTGCTGGATCTCATCCACTGTGCTTCAGAAGCTCCTGGAAGAAGATC